ATTTGATGTAGCTCATACTGTGGCTCATGTCCAGTGTGTTGAACATCCTCATCCAACGGTTCCTTATACTCGGTGAGAAATTTTTCCAGTGCCCCATGAGCCATCACAGACGTGTTTCACTTTTTGGGAAGGTCTGGTTTCCTTGCTTGACTTTCTTTACTGGGATACAGAAACAGTTTTACTGTAGATCCCTTATAAAATAATCTCTGACAAACCTATAGATTTATTTCAAATATAGGATCATTGTGCATTTCACACGTGCTCTGGGGAGGCTGGCCTGGGCAGTGCTGCACATTCCTCTCTCATTAAAAAGAATTTCAGGGATTCACAGAATCACACAATTGTTCAGTTTGGAAAAGCCCTCTGAGATCGAGTCCAACCATTCCCCCAGCACTGCCAAGGCCACCACTGACCCATGTCCCAAGTGCCACATCCACATGGCTTTTCAATCCCTCCAGGGATGGGGACTCCACCACTGACCTGGGCAGCTGTGCCAGGGCTGGATGGCCCTTTCCAGGAAGAAATTCCTCCTGATGTCCAACCTGAACCTCCCCTGGCACAGCTTAAGGCCATTTCCTCTTGTCCTGTCCCTTGTTCCCTGGGAGCAGAGCCCGACCCCCACCTGGCTCCACCCTCCTGTCAGAGAGTTGGAGAGAGCAAGAAGGTCCCCCCTGAGTCTCCTTTTTTCCAGGCTGAGGCCCCTTTCAGCTCCATCAGCCACTCCTGGTGCTCCAGACCCTTCCCCAGCTCTGTTCCCTTCTCTGGACACATTCCAGCCCCTCAATGTCTTTCTTGTCCCGAGCAGCCCAAATCTGACCCCAGGATTCAAGGTGTAGCCTCAACAGGGGGATTTTTTTTTTTTTAAAGTGCCAGTAACAGAGGAACATGAGACTGGAGAGGACCTTCTCATTCTCCACATCCACCTCTCAGCCACTACAGCCGTGGTCCAACTGCATTTCAACATTACTAAAATCCTCAGCATTTTCCAGTGTCATTATCATGGTCAAAGCCCTGTTTAATCACAGCCTCCATCTGGCACACACTTCAAAAGGGCTTCCTCCTTTGGATTTATCTCTTTAACTTCACTGGTGAATTTTCCATCGCAGTGAATTTCCTGTCTCTCAGCCTGCAGGATGATTGCATTTGCATAAGACTAAACAAATCGGTGTCTTCAAGGAGTCATTTTTAGACAAGACTTTAAGGTTTTGTTCTCCCAAGGTCAAGCTTTCTCCAACCCTCCCTGGCCTCTGAGGCACAGGAGGATGTTTCTCATCTTGACAAGCTCCCCTTTGGTCAGAGCCCTCTGGAGCCTGTTCTGGAGCTCTCCAGGCTGATTATCTCCTCTATCACCCATTCCCTTCCAATAGATCTTTTAGAGGCTGTCGACCTTCTCCTGCACAGCCATAAATCCTCAACTAACTTCAAGTGTAACAATATGTAGAGATGTTATCCCAGGACTCGGCTGAGCCTTCCGAGGCCCATTATCTCACAATCTTTTCTTTTAAAAGAACATTTTTTGACAGCCCAGTCGTTTTCATCTTTTTTTTCTTCCTGCTTTGACCTTGAGTTAGTTTATTCCTTCCTTTGCTGGATATTTTAAATGTTGCATGAAAAAATCCAATTTATTAAGGCTTTCCTATGGTAAATGATTAACCTGAATATAGTTAAATGAAATGCTTATTAACATCTCCCTGCATAATCCATTTAACAGAATTAGTCTTGCTTATTCAGACAACCTAAAGGGTCCGTGCTTTTGTCTACACGGCATCAGCATTAAAGCTTATAATTATTTCTGGTTAATGCAGCCCTTGGTGTTAGGAAATGCTGGTTTGTGTGTTCCAGCACAGCACTTCTCCTAATCTCTTGTATTAATTAGAGATACTGATATAATATTACTTTGTTCCTTTCTATTCAGCACCAGGAGAGATGTCTGAATATAATCCTATCTGTGCTAAGGGTGTCTTAAATATTTTCACAACTGCTGGCTGGTATAAAACATTAGGATTATGTAGAATAATCACTGAATTAGAAGAAAAGAGAGCTTGATAAGAGCACGTGGCCATCCTAGATGTGCACCTGGGACTTTGGGGTCAGTCATGGGATTTTTCCTTCCACAGGGCTGACCCACCATGTAAACGATGAGATGGTATTTCAGGTCCCTTCCAACCCAAACCAGCCTGTGAATCCATGATCTCTTCCCAGCTTTTCAGTGGTGCTGCTCTGTGCGTGGCTCAGCTGGATGTTACTCCCTCACCCACAGGGATGCAGCTGCTCGGGCTCTAAGGAATATTTAATGACATCCATTAGCAGGAAAGGAAATTATTGTCCCTCCATGACTGAAGCTGACATTTTAAACTTATTGCATCTTCTAAATCCTGGGTCATTTTATATTTCAGACATCAGACTTTTCATCGAGCTCATTTTAATCTTCTTCTAGGTGGAAATTCACTGTCTTTTAAGGTGTTTTAAAGTATCACTGCCAGGGCTCTGAACTGAATTTGCATCACCAGCTCATAAAATCACAGAATCACTGAGGTTGGAAAAGCCCTTCCAGACCATCAAGTCCAACCATTCCCCAGCACTGCCAAGGCCACCACTGACCCATGTCCCCAAGTGCCACATCCACATGGCTTTTCAATCCCTCCAGGGATGGGGACTCCACCACTGACCTGGGCAGCTGTGCCAGGGCTGGATGGCCCTTTCCAGGAAGAAATTCTTCCTGATGTCCAACCTGAACCTTCCCTGGTGTAGCTTGAGGCTGTTTCCTCTCATCCTGTCCCTTGTTCCCTGGGAGTAGAGCCTGACACACACCCCCACCTGGCTCCACCCTCCTGTCAGGGAGTTGGAGAGAGCAAGAAGGTCCCCCTGAGACTCTTTTTCTCCAGGCTGAGCTCCCTCAGCCACTCGTGGTGCTCCAGACCCTTCACAAGGGTTAGCACAAGGGGAACCAGACCGTTTGACCTTGATTTCTATTAAGAGTCACCAAGGTGTTGTTCTGGAGGAGAATCCTCAACTCTCTGCAGCCCAACCACTTTTCCTTCCCCTCTCCATGCACCGAAAGCTTCACAGGCTGTAAAATCAGTTATAAATGTCATGCTCTCTTGTAATGGTGGTAACAGGGATTATGTAAAAGCCCAGGATAGCTGCAGATGTAATCACAGACTCAAATAATTCCAGCTTTATTTAATGCCTGATCACACATACCTGCACCATTATCTTCCTCCGTGAATACTAAGACTGTGACTGTGTGTGTGTGTGTGTGTGTGTGTGTGTGTGAAACAATGACAGGGTAAGATTTCAAAGGGGGGGAAAAGCAGATGTTTTATGCTATTTTCAAATGTTTAAACCTTTTCATTTATTCCCAAACTAAGGGCTTAGTCTGACACAGAGACCCATCAAAAGCACCATGAAAATTAACAATCCAAGAACAAAGTGCCCTTGCACAGCATTGCACAGCAAATGCTCATGGAAGCAAGGACTGCTTATTACTTACCAAAATAATTACTCCTTGTAGATAAAGGACTGAGCAGACCATACTAAGAACCTTTAAATTTGTAAATTGTAAAAGCTTGTTTACTTTTTCAAGTTTGTGAAACACCACAAAAAAATCTATGGAATTTTATTAAGTTAGGAACAGCAAAGAATTCAGGGAGCCACAGGAAAAGTGATTCAATACTCTGAGGTGGAAAAGGACTGCAGAAGCTTATTAATTTTAAAGACCTTTTAAGAGCCAAGCACAATATTTTAAGCTGTATGTCATGCAGTAGGCTTACTGTGACATCATAATTGATAATTAAACTTCTCCAGATTTGCTTCTCCTTCAGGTTTCTCTCCCATCAAATTCCCCTGGTTAGGCAGCTCTGGGAACCATAACTCTTCTCTATTATCTGCCCAAGTCAGTGTATTTTTCCCTCATTAACTCACCTTGTACCTTTGTGCTGAAACAATCCAGGTATGATTTAATAAGCCTTAGAAAGACAGTGCTGGTTCATATGCAGGAAATCAGATTTACATAATTTTCCGCTGGCTTTTATAGCCACCATAGTTCAAATTATCTTTAAGTTGAGGAAACTCTTTGAATACCATAAAATGAAACAGCACCTGTGCTTTGCTCCAGCAGCCTCGCCTGGGTCTGGTAATAAATTAAAGGTTGATTTGTCACACTGACTTCACCCAGAAAGCCCCTTTTTAATGAGAGGAGGAGAGTGCCCTGTCCCACAGTTAGTCACGGTTATCAGTCGCTAAACTAAGCTGCAAAATCAAGTTTAATCTTGTTTTGTTTTGCTTTTATTACCTGAACCTTTCTGCATGGGGGGAAACCAAATAGGTTTTGGTTGTATCACATACTCTTCACCAAGTAAAATGTCATACATTAAAAACAGATCTCATAGCACTGGGTTCTGTACAAATGGAAAAGGGATGCTTCTGTTCCAGTGTTTGGACTGAACAAGACTTGGAATTCAGGATTATACTTTTCTTGTATTTTCCCTCTCTTTGCATACAGTTAGTGTGTATTTACTCAGGAATTTGAGGAAGACTTCATGGAAAACAAATAAATACAATTTCTTCAAAGAGGCCAGAAATACATGGGAATGTCTTTGGCTGAGCAAAATTGTCAAACTTTGGGCTTTTAGACTTAGGCAGGAAATGAATTGCTTTCCAACAGAATTAAATCTAGTCCCCTCTCATTGCTTTCACTGTAGATCTTAATGCTCAGTAACTTAGAAACAGATCAGTTATTCAGATGGTTAAAAATGAAACACTCATCTGACACTAAGTACTCCCAGTTTTAAATGCTTGCCTTAAAAACAATTTATCCTCTTTAAACAAACAGGAATAGTCCCTGAGCAGGGTGACAGGAGGGTTGGGCTGCTTTTCCAGTGTTTTCTCTGTTTTTCAGGAGAATGCTTCTGTTGCCCTAAGTATTATCTTAGAAGAATTAATGAAAACTAAGAATTTGGTGGGAGTTTTCACTGAACCCCTTTTCCTTCTCTCTGCAGCTCCCAGTACAGCCCAGTATGGGATCACCGGTGATGCCGAAGTCCTCTTCTCCTGCTGGTACCTTGTGTTGACACTGTCCTCCCTCAGTAGCATATTCTACCTGAAGAACATCATTCTGCACTAAATGTAAAGACCATAAAAGGCTTTTAAGGATTCCCTGAGAGTGCTGATGACTGGCTCCAATCTGGTAGAGTTTGTTAAAAGCAGCGTGGGATATAATCAGCCGTGCTTACATGGGAATGATCGCCTTCTGTAGAATTGCTCATTATGTAAATACTTTAATTCCCCTCCTTTTTTTTTGATTAGCTGCATTACCTTGTGAAGCAGTACACATTGTCCTTTTTTAAGACGTGAGAACTCTGAAATTACTTTTAGAGGATATTAATTGTGATTTCATGTTTGTAATCGACAAGTTTTCAAAAGCATTCAGTCATGGTCTGCTGAGTTGCAGACTGTAGTTTACAAAAGAAAAAAGGATATTGCAGTAAAAATGTGCTTCTTTAAGGCTGCAATACAAACATTCAGTTCCCTTCTCAACCACCATTCTCTCCACATTTACACAGAAGCATTTGTTCTTTTTTGAGTAAAAAAAAAAATCAAATAATATTGCCTTCAAAGTACTTCTTCAAAATATTACACATATCTAGATTTTCTTCTAGCATGATATTCAGGTTTCAAGAATGAGCCTTGTATTATAACTGCATTGTGCAGTACTGCTTTTGTTCTCTACCCTTTTTCCTGCAAATTCAGCATGGTTGTGCCTTCATAAAACACGACTTTCCTCTTCCTCTCCAACAAATCTGGAATGTGTTTTGGGAAATACTAAAGCATCCTTTTGAGCATAAGAAATCTCTAGCTGAGGATGAAGGTGCTACAGGCTACAAGGGAAACCTCCTCTCCCATCTCCAGGGGGTCCACAAGCTGCTCCAGACACAGGGTTTAGGTCAAGGGTAGCACCAAGTCCTTTTTGTTTTTACCTCCATCACAACTAACCAGTAGGTGATCTCTGTAAAAATTAGTTTTCCCATTACAAAACAGAACACAAATTATTTTGAGGCATCTTTTGAATGTAGGAAGGTTTGCTGTACTCATCCTAAATCCAAATTCCTACATGACTGTAAATGGCAGAAGCTGAATTGTCCCCTTTTGTATTACTGGCAAAACTGATGGGAATTGGTATTTTTCTTGCGCTTAATTTTGTACTGGTTTGGCTAATTTAGCAATGATAAAGGATGCTTTTAAATATTAGATATCTGAAAATACATGAAGTATCAAGCAGAATTTTATATATATACATATATCTATTAAAAGGAAGTTGCTCCAGTAATGGTACTGAAGTGCATGTTGCCGTCCACGGTAGGATCATCCTTCCAGGCAGGACTTGTGCTCACACTGTGCAGGTCCCTCCCCCAGCACGGCAGTCCCCACACACCATTTCCTAGTCCTGCAGCCCATGAGGATCAAGTTTCAAAACAGTGTATAATGTTGCTTTTAGTTTTTAAAACCCCTGGACAGTGTTAACGTGAAATGTGCTCACAGTTTACACCTGGTTTCAAACTGCCATCTGTGGGACTTGCTGGGGCATGACTGTGGCCAACAGTCCTTGAATCCCAGATTCCCTGGTGACCCCAGGAGATCTTGACTTGCTCTCAAACAACTGTTGATGACATGAATAACAAAACCATTATCCCAGAATCCCAGACTGGTTTGGGTTGGGAGGGACCTTAAAGCTCATTCAGTCCCACCTCCTGCCATGGGCAGGGACACCTTCCACTAGACCAGGTTGCTCCAAGCCCTGTTCCAATCTGACCTTGGACACTTCCAGGGGTGGGGCAGCCCCCACGAGCTCCAGTAGCTGACACAAACATTACAGTACAACATTAATTCTCCTCACAGCAGGTTTTGGCAGAGAGCAGCAGCAGCAGAGTCCTGGGTATACTCAGCAATCCCAAACTCAGCACAGATATCCCATTTTTTTGACAAGGAGGACTCTGAGTTTTGCTACACTCAATATCTGCTGTCCCAATGTGCAGCCAGAATATGCAGCGAGTCTGTTGTAGTTGCTGATAAAGGGCATAAACAGAGGTATGTTGACTCCAAAGAGATGTCCCAGGTCACTTTGCATGTTCAGTGACAGACCAAACTGTGTCTCTCATTACTTGCAGCCGCGTGCTAAGCAGTTACTATTTTCAGAAATGTGGCATTTTTTAAAACCTGGAATAACATGACAAAATCCATTTTGTAAGGAAAGGGTAAAAATTCAGCTCAAATTATATTGTACACAACCCTGATATTCTGTTCTATCTTGTATTGCAGCTTTAAAGGACTCTATTTTAGAATCCATTCACTAGAAACAGTGGTGCTGCAGGAAGAATCATGGCAGTACAGTTTGGTGAAGGAAAAAACAAGGATAGGGATAACCCAACCCATATGCTCATCTCATGTGGAATTGAGAAGTGGTTCTATGCTGTGGCTGGATCAGATCCTGCATTTTGGTGATATATTGCATTCCAGGGATCCCTGATATTTGGATCCTGATCTTTCCAGCAACAGAACAGAATGAACAGCAGATTTATTAAATATGGAAAGATAATACATATTTAAGTGTTGACTGTTTGCATTTGGACCAGGTAGAGCCACTGGATGACAGGTACAAGATTTTTAGTCCTATGTTTGAATTTTCATTTTGGGGGGACATAGTTATTGTCAAGTCCAAAAAGAAGAAGAAAAAAAATCCAGCCAAATTCCCAAATATCTCTAAGTGCCAATGGCATTCCTTAGGTGACACAGGGATTGCTGTCTGTGGGAGCTGCATGCTCAGCAGTGACCTGGGGGTGGGTAAGGCCACTAGGATGGGTGTCCTTGGGGTCTGTAGACTTTGGTCTCCTGAAGGTGCTCTGAGACTCTGCAACCCCAATTTTGGCAGGATTGGAGCTGGAGGCAGAGTGGATCAAATAAAGACACTTGGTTCTTGGTGAATCCATGCTGTGCAGTGACCTGGTGATTGTACAGGCTGGGACTTACCGGGGTGTTCTCCAAAAATGGGCCATGCTGCAAATTGAACACAACATTTCACATTTTAGGAACTGTAGAATGAGAGAATGTTCTGGATTGAAAAGGGCCTTAAAGCCCGTCTCATTCCAACCCTATAATTTGTGGGGTGCACTTTAGCCAACTGTTTGGGTGTATGTTCTTCAAAGTTCTGACCCATAATGGTCATATCTGTCGGGGAAATCTTATTATATTTATTACCACCTTTCAAATGCAAAAAATAAATGGCTTAGCCGAATATTTATATCAAGGTTGTTGTCCACATTGGAACCCCCAAAGTCTGGAAGTTCCTCCTTGTGCAGTAACACAGGGCTGCCACCCCCAAGGCTCCGGGGCGACACGGAGCAGTGGCACTGCTGGTCAGGAATATGATCTTGATACTCAATGAAAGGATGTCTCACAACTTCTGCAACAAATGCAGTTTGTTTCTCGAAGGTTTAGAACTTGGCAGGATCTGTCAGAGCTAGACAGCTTTTTTTTAAACTGTTCAATAGATTTTTTTTTTCGAATCATTGCTGTTTTTAAGACACAGGAGTGTTAAAACCCATCATAGTGACAGCTGCTTTTTTGCACATTTTCTGAGCAAGTGTTCTAGATAGACAATGGCAAATGTTCTGCTACCAAAACCTCCACCGAGTCCACAGAACTGTGTTATGAAGAATGTGTATACCAAAATATGTATTTACATGGATAAACAATATGCCTTAAAGACTAAATATGCATTTACTTCTAAGGCTGGATCAAACTTGTGCCCAGTCTGGAGGTAAATAATCCATATTTCACAGCTGCCATGGAAGGCTTTGTTTCTTTGGAGAAAAAAGGGGGGAGAAAAAGCATTTCTTTTAAAAGAATCTTAAATAATTTTAAAATTCTTGCATAAACTGATATGTGTGAGGAAGTTTAGGAAAAGTATGCAGTTTAGCCTGACACTTTTCAGCACTGGCAATGCAGGGCTTGCCGTGTGGGGGCTGTGGTGCCACTCAAAACCTGGCATGTCCCATTCGATGTCCCCTTGTACACTCAACTCCCTCAGGTGGCCCTGAGCTGGGGCAGAGTGAGGGGCCTGGGTGCTCCCCCATCCCACAGCGCTGCGGGAATGGGGCCACCTCCCCACCCCATGCTACTACTGGCAACACAAAATCCTTTAAAACAAGAAAATGTTACAAAAAATAGAATTTAAAAAAAACAGGAATTAAAAATTCTCCACTCAGCCTTAATATTGAGAGCAGAGAAATCAGTATTGGTGTGGGAGGGAAGAATTTGCTTTGAATTTGACCAGCCATGAGCATGGCCATGGCAGGGGCAGGCCTGTATTTGGGTTGGGTTTGGTCCTTATTTGTGTTCCTCTGTTGAGCTTTGAGGGCAAGGGAGGGGATTTATTCTGTAATCAGCAAAGTCTATAATCTAACTGGAAACAACCAGGCCAAGGCACTGGCACAGGGTCTGGGAATGGTTTGGGAGGGATTCTCAGTAAATCCTGCTTCAAGAGTTCTGTCTGAGCAAGGGCAGGGGAGGTTTTACAGGGGCACCTTCAGTGCTGAGCACGTACCTGTTTGTTCCTATACCCTTATGCCTAATTCATGAAGAGCTCCAAGGTTTCTTTTTATTAGATAATTCTCATGTTAAAAAATGCAGAGATCAGCACATTTGCCACTTCTCATAAGCTTAGTTTTCAGTCATTCATATTTTAGGGCATATTAAGCTTCCCCATCACTGGGTAGGATGAAAATCTGCATTACAGGATGGGGTGGGGGAGTGAGGGGGGTGATTCCCACCCACTCTGGCTGCTCTGCCGTTGTCTGGGAAGGAGCTCAGTGAGGCTGTAGGGTCTCTGAGGGGGGGCTACAAGGGGGTGCACGTCAGTCCCCAGCCACTCTGCAGCCATTGCACAGTGCTGGCTCCACAACTCCTGACTGCCAGAGTTATCCCTGAGGTTTTAAGTCAATTTATGCCCAGAGCCATCCTGGTGATGGGAGAAATGCAGGAGGGACCTTCTCCTTGGCTCCCTCCCTGCACGGCACTGGGTTCTCCCACGCAGTGAACTTTGAACAACCCACAAACAGCAATGAAAACCAGCACAGTTAACAGGGATTTCCTTGCAGTCCCTCAGTGCCTCAGCCCCAGGCAGTGGGAAGCATGTGCACCTTGGCCCCCAGTAGCAGAATAAATTACACTTCTGCAGCAGCCAGAATTTAAGGACAGGGAGGAGGGGACAGCACATTGCTGCTCCAGCCCCGACAGCCACAGGACTTTCCCCTCTTATCAGCCAAATATTAGTCGTCATTATTCCTACCCTCTTCTTCTATGCTGCCAGATAACAAACTGCCTGTAATGATGATTAATATTCTTCTCAGTATCTAGAGGGGGAAATCTGTTCTCTCCTAATGCTCATTCATCCCTCTCTTTATTATTTTTCAGCCCAAACCAAAACACAATTCGCACATTACACACCACGATTTATGTGCAATAACATCAGTTTTCCCACTTCTCAGCCCCATTAGAGTCAGAAGCACATCACTCCCATTAACCTCCACGACAGCTACTTAAATGTGA